TTTAGGGTTTTCAGGGTGTATTTCGGGTCTCAGGTTTAGGGGTTTAGGTCTTCTATGGTCCAGGGTTTAGGGGTGAGGGTTCAGGGCTTTGGGGTTAGGGTTGAGGATTTACTGTTTAGGGTGCTGAGGACTTCTATGGTGGTTGAGGGTTCAGGAGCAGTTTATCCCAGCGCAGGTCACGAATGCGAGCGCCCGCATCTGACAAGCGCAAGAGAGGAAGCAACCCCTCCCTCTAAACCCCAAACCTTTAATCCAAAGCCTTAAATCCTAGAAGACCAAAGCCCCAAACCCTGATCCCGAAGTATGGTTCTTACATGGGAAAGCCCCATTTGGGGCCCCTTTTAAGTTCCTTAGAACTCTACTTGTGTGCCCTGAAACCCTAACCCCTAAACCCTTACTAAGCCCCCCCCCCCAGTTCTTCCAAGTAGACCTGGACCCAGGCCCAGCGCGCCAAAGACCTGGTCCAGCGCTGGAAGAGTGAGTACGAGAGAGAAAGGGCTCTCAGGGTTTAAGGCCTCAGGCTGCATTAGGCTCGCAGCTGCCACGTAGGCAAGCAGTGGCTTTGAAAGCCCGGGTGACGAGAGGGTGTTTAGGGTTTGGGTGTTTTGGGTTTGGGGTTTGGGGTTTGGGGTTTGGGGCTTAGGGATTTAGGGTTTTGGGTTTGGGGGTTTTGGGGTTTTGGGGTTTTGGGGTTTTGGGGTTTTGGGGTTTTGGGGTTTTGGGGCTTTGGGGTTTTGGGGTTTTGGGGTTTTGGGGTTTTGGGGTTTTGGGATTTTGGGGGGTTTTGGGGTTTTGGGGCTTTGGGGCTTTGGGGCTTTGTGGTTTTGGGGTTTTGGGGTTTTGGGGGTTTGGTTTGGGGGTTTTGGGGTTTGAGTTTAAGGGCGTTAGGGTTTAGGGTTTGGGGGTTGGGGTTTTGGGGTTTGGGTTTGAGTTTCTAGGCGTTTAGAGATTATACGTAGGCTTGAGGGATTAGGGCGAAGAGGGTTTCGGGTTTGAGGGGCTTCTGTTTTAAGACTTAGGGAATCCAGGGCTTTGGGGATGGGGGGGGGGGCCTACAGGGGCTCCGAACGGCTTAAGGGCAGGGGTTTAGGGTTTGGGGTTTGGGGAATAGGGCTTTACGGCTTAAGGGGGTCTCAGGCAGGTCTAGCTCACAGGGTTTTGGATCACATGTCTGCTTCAGGGTTTAGGGATGTGCAATTCTGAGTTTGGGGTTTAGGCTGTAGGGTTGTAGGTTGACTGTCCAGGGTGCCGGGTGCGAATCACTGGCGCACTAAAGGTTTTCTGACCCTAAACCCTAAACCCTAAACCTTTAACCCTAAACCCTAAGCCCTGAACCCTAAACCCTAAACCCCCTTGGAAGAAGCCGCAGCTTGCCAGTGGCAGCTTGCCTCGCACATCGCCCTCAGCACCCCGTAAGCCTGGGCTTAGGCGGCCTGCACCCCTTAAACCCGCAAGGATTAAGATTCCTAAACCCTAAACCCTAAACCCTAAACCCTAAACCCTAAACCCTAAACCCTAAACCCTAAACCCTAAACCCTAAACCCTAAACCCTAAACCCTATACCCTATACCCTATTCCCTAAACCCTAGACCCTAAACCCTAAACCCTAAACCCTAAACCGTAATAAACCCTAAACCCTAGACCCTAAACCCTAAGCTTGGAACCCTAAGATTGTACCCCCTTAAGGACCTGTATGCACTCTTGGTAGCCCAGTGCTACCCTTTTCCCGTTTTTTGGTTCAAGGGTGTATGTCAGGGCATATGAGGTGCCAAATTCCCTCCTTCCGGTACTAAGAATCCTAAAGACCTAAACCTTAAACCCTAAGCCCTAAGCCCTAAGCCCTAAGCCCTAAGCCCTAAGCCCTAAGCCCTAAGCCCTAAGCCCTAAACCCTAAACCCTAAACCCAAAACCCTAAACCCTAAACCCTAAACCCTAAACCCTAAACCCAGACAACCCAAAAAGCCCTGGGCAGGGAAGGGGCTGGTCTGGCTCCGGATAGACTGCGCGCCCAGCGCCAAAACAGACGTCGAGCGTCCATGCACCCAGAACGCCTCAACGTCGATAGACCTAAGCGGCCCCGAAGAAACCTAAGCAGCCCGAAAGCCGAAGAGCGTCCCTCCAACCCTAAACCCCAAACCCCAAGCCCAAAACCTACCTCAAGCCCTAAATCCTAAACCCTAACCCTAAGGCCTAAACCCCAAACCTTAAACCCTTGAAGCTCCTGAAGCGTCCCAAACGTAGCTTTGAGGGGGCCAGACAGCTTAGGGCCCGCAAGGCGGCCTGTAGAGGGTTTAGAGCTTATAGGTTTGAGGGTTTAGGGTTTAGGATTTCTGGCTTAGGGTTGAATTAGGGTTTAGGGTTTAGGGCGGGCTTGAGGGGTGTTTTAGGGCTGTAGGACTTTAGCTCGTGTTTGGGGTTGTTAGGGTCTTGAGGGTTCTTTCAGGGCTCTTAGGACTGATGGGGAGGGTGTTGAGGGCGTTAGGGGCTTATAGCTTTAAGGCTCTTTGGTTGTTTCGGTATCATGTCTTCGGGTTTAGGGTTCGGGACCATGCTGCACAAAGAGGCGGGTCAGCCTCGGAGGTCATCTGAGGCCGCATCAGCTCCGTCCTCGGGCCCGGGAGAATTTTTCGTGGGATGCGCCAGCCATGCCGCCCTGCGCAGGCGCGCTTGAGCGAGTTCCTCCTCGAGATGGACAACGAGCTCGCGCGACTGCGGCAGGTGCTGCGGAGCGTTCATGAGCAGCTCAGGGCTGGGAGGGGCCTGCGTGGCTTGAGTACTGAGGGTTTTCGGGCTTTAGGCTCTTGAGACTAGAATGTCAGAATGGTATAGATGGCTCCTGCAACCCTATCCCGAGCTGTCGCTTTCCCTCGAGGTTTTGGGTTCGAAGCTCCTTTAGCGAGAACATATTTGGACCTTTCGCGAGAACGTATTTGGAGGATGTCGACCTATTCAGACATAAGACAGGTAGGTCGAGGTTTTCCTCTGAAAACATCGAGGAAAGCAAGGTTTTCCTGTGACCTGAAAATACCGGGAAGATGAAATAGATATTGTCCTCTTAGAAACGAAAGCAAAACGCAAAACGAGGTTTTCTCATAATATACCGCTAGTGAAGATGCGAGCGAAGAAGTATGTATCTGTGTATGCACACACACACACATTCTGTAAAACATCCGGAGAAAACAATGGAGGCTTTATATTGATTTTTTCTCTTTCAAGCCCGCCCCCACCCCCCCCCCCCCCTTTTCGCAAAACAGAAGAAGTACCAATAACAACAGCCCCACATAAAACAGCCCATAAACCCTAAATCCTAAACCCTAAACCCTAGACCCTAAACCCTAAACCCTAAACCCTAAACCCTAAACCCTAAACCCTAAACCCTAAACCCTAAACCCTAAACCCTAAACCCTAAACCCTAGACCCTAAACCCTAAAGCCCTAAACCCTAAACCCAAGCCCTATCAGACTATGGCTACTAGGCCGCCTGGCTGCCCAGTAAGTCTGTTCCGCAGGATCCACTGGAATTGGATGATGAGGACGCCGCATTCGATTTGTGTACTTCAAGGTCTCAAAACAATCCTGCTCTCGAACTCTTGCTAGCATTTGGATTTGGGGCTTAGGGTTTATAGGGCTTAGGCTCGGGAGTCTTGGGTCGAGACTTGCAACATGCTGTGCGGCCAGAATCAGAAAAACAGAAGAAGGAGAGACGATTGTAAAGCCAGCTGAAGCAGACCCTAACCAGACCCTAACCCTAAACCCTAAAACCTCAACCCTAAAGCAGACCCGAAGCCCCTTGTGTTCCAGGACCGGCGAGAGCTGCGGCTTTTTCACCTACGAAAGATGCAGTTGCCAGGATGCCCGGTTAGGGTTTAGGGCTTAGGGCTTAGGGCTTAGGGTTTGGGGGCTTAGGGGTTCAGAGTTTGTGGGGCTTTTGGTGGTGTTGAAGGGCTCAAGGGCTTGGGGGGTTAGAGTATAAGTTTTAAGTTTCAAGTTTTGGTTGTTTTGGGGGTTAGGGGTTTAAGAGCTCAGGGGCTTTAGGGCTTGAGTGTTCAGGGTCTAGGGGCGCCAGTGCTTCAGGAGTAACAGGCTGTAAGTAGATTGGTATTTGGCGCTTGGAGGTTCAGTTGGTGGTTGCAGACGGGTCTAGCGTTTAGGGCTTAGGGTCCCCCCTGTCACTCTTTCTCTCTTGCTGGAGTAAGATCCGCTGTCACAAGCCTGGCCAATCCTGCCACACTGCCGTATCGTCCTCAACTTTATATCTGAGATCCTTGCCCTAAATCGATCCTCTCGTGTCGGAGGCGCTGACCCCCAAAGTAGAGTTTCGTCGAATTAGTTTAGGGTTTAGGGTTTAGGGTTTAGGGTTTAGGGTTTAGGGTTTAGGGTTTAGGGTTTAGGGTTTAGGGTTCCTAAGCCCCAAACCGGTGCCGCAAGATGACGAGGCCGGGTGCTGCGCGGATGCGGAAGGAGGCGGACGACTCGCAGTGCCCTCCGAGACCCAACGCGTCACTGCTCGACCTGCCCTATCCCTTTCCCCCCCCCCCCTCGCAACCGTAAGGGGATCTCGTGCACCCGAGACCCCTAGACTCCTAATTATAAACCCGAAAAGTCCGTAACCCCCAAAGTTACAGTTCAAAAGACCCCCCAACCCGTGAGTCCAAGTCGGAGGTACCAGCCGCAGGCCCTGAACCATGGGGAGCCGCTGACGGCACCAGCCACCTGGGAGGACTGCCGCGGCACTTGGGCTGCTCAGGGTTCGGGGTTTAGGGTACCCTAAACCCTAAACCCTAAACCCTAAACCCTAAACCCTAAACCCTAAACCCTAAACCCTAAACCCTAAACCCTAAACCCTAACCTAAACCCTAAACCCTAAACCCTAAACCCTAAACCCTAAACCCTAAACCCTAAACCCTAAACCCTAAACCCTAAACCCTAAACCCTAAACCCTAAACCCTAAACCCTTTCGGCTTTGGGGTTTTGGGCTTAGGGTTTGGGGTTTAGGAAAGTGCATCGGAGAGTTTTAGGCCAGTTTAGGGGCCCAAAGCCTTAGGCCCAAAAGCCCAAACCCTCCGAACGCCCCCAGCGCCGGCCTGAACACTCTAGAGCCCGCCCCCTGCACTCCCTCAGCCCATTCTGAGCCCTAAACCATAACCTCTACGTAGGCCCTAGACCCTAAGGCTCTAAACAGCCTGTCCCGAAAAACATCTCCAAACCTTAAGAGCCCCAAACGTCCCGTGGAGCCCCTGAACCCTAGACCCCAAACCCAAAACCCTAAACCCCAAACCCCAAACCCTAAACCCTAAACCCCAAACCCCAAACCCTAAACCCTAAACCCTAAACCCCCAACCCCAAACCCTAGACCCTAAACCCTAAACCCTAAACCGTAAACCGTAAACCCTAAACCCTAAACCCTAAACCCTAAACCCTAAACCCTAAACCCTAAACCCTAAACCCTAAACCCTAAACCCTAAACCCTAAACCCTAACCCAAACAGCTATGAGGAGATTCAGCGGTTCGCACTGGACCTCGGAGAGGTTTGGGCACTCAAGAGGGTTTGAGGTTTAGGGTTTAGGGTTTAGGGTTTCTGCATGTCTAAGTGGGGTTCAGGGTGTAGCAATTCAGGGCAAGTGCCCCTGCTGTAGCAGCCATTACCCTTAACCCCAAAACCCAAACCCTAAGCCCTAACCCCTAAACCCTAAACCCCAAACTCCCTAAACCCTAAACCCTAAACCCTAAACCCTAAACCCTAAACCCTAAACCCTAAACTCCTATACAACCCTACGTATCACTACACAGAACCCTCCACACGTGGACCGAGGGTTAAGGTGCAGGGCAGAGGAAGCCTAGGGTTGGGGTTTAAGGGTTTGAGGGTTTGAGGGTTTGAGGGTTTGAGGGTTTGAGGGTTTAAGGGTTTGAGGGTTTGAGGGTTTGAGGGTTTGAGGGTTTACGTCATGGTTACCGAAACCCGAAACCCGAAACCCTAAACCCTAAACCCCAACTAAACCCAAAATCCAAAACCCTAGACCCCCCCTGAACATGCTTCGAGCCGAGCTTCGAGCCTTGGGTCCAGGATTTCAGTTTCAGGCCCTGACCTCTACACCTTAAGACCTTCGACCCCGACCCACAACCCAACCCCCTAAAACCCCTGAAGCCCTCAAACCCTACAAAACCACCCCAAACACCCTTACCCCAAAGCCTGCAGGCCCCCAAGAAACCCAAACCCAAACCCGAAACCCTAAGCAGCATTTGAATAGGGTATTGGGGCCCGTATTTTAGTATAAGTATATAGGGACCATAAGAGACTACTACTAGTACTTCTTCCGACCGCTTCTAAGTTAGAACCCAGATCCCAACCTTGAGCGCCGCCGCACCGCCGCAGACAAAGGGCCCCAAGGAAAGCACAGGGGGCGAAGGGGGCCTCCCTGGCCTGCCAAAGGCGGGGGAGGGGGGAGCTCGACCAGGGGTCTCGACCCTGGGTTTTGGGTTTAGGGTTTAGGGTTTAGGGTTTAGGGTTTAGGGTTTAGGGTTTAGGATTTAGGGTTTATAGGGGTTCGGGTTTTACGGCTTCGGTGGTTAGGGTTCAGGGTGTAGGGGTTTAGGGTTTAGGGTTCAGGATTCAGGGTTTCTGCCCTGGTTCGAATTCCGAACCCCCAACCCGAATACGACAGGTCCACTCCAGGCCGGGGAGTGTCATCCCTATGAAGCGCCACCCTATGAAGCGCCAAGCCATTTTCGGGGTTTAGGGGTTCAGGGGTTTTGGTGGTTGGGGCATGAGGGGTTTAGGGTTTAGGCATTGGGGGTTTAGGGCCGGTTCAGGGCCTTGTATGTACCCTGAGAGCCTTCGGAGGTGAGCCGTACGTAGGCGACCGCGACCTGACACCATCCCTGGCAAGGCTAAGGCACTAAAAAAAAAGGTATAGGGTTAGGGTTTAGGGTTTAGGGAAGTTTAGGGTTTAGAGTTTTAGGGTTTCGGGTTCAGGGTTTTGGGTTTTATGGCTCAGGTTTTAGGGTTTTAAGGGGCTAAGGGCGTTGCAGCCAGGAGCTAGCGTCGGCTAGGGCTTGGGGGACTCTTTTAAGGAGCCCTTTTCGGAACACAGGGGCGCCGGAGTTTTTGGGGGTAATATCGGGGTCGGAATAGTTACTGATAGTATCCCCTTCGGGTCCCTGTATGATTCTACTCATAATCACCCCCCCCCCCCCCCCCCCCAAAACAAAAAAAAAAACAAGAGAAAAGAAACACACCTGCCTGATGCCAACACCCTGTAAAGACAAGGAACCACTCGAATCAGACACCCCCCCCCAGGTTCTGCCCGTTAGCACAAGCAAGGAGTCCTAGCACCGTCTAGGGCTTAGCCCTTGGCCTTGGCAGCAGCCCAATCCCTGCAAACCGCCCCAGGCAGGCCGGGGCACTCTTCGCAGCCATGGTGGCCATTAGCATCATTACGATCAGCAAGGAAAGGCTTTGGGGTCGAGGGGTCTTGGGTCGACAGTTTCTCCTTTTCCCCGTCTAAACCCTAAACCCAAAGCCCTAAGCCCTACGCCCTAACACCCTAAACTCTAAACCCCAAACCCAAATCCCAAATTGTAGGTTTCAGGACTGAGGGGATTGGCTAGGCAGCTCAGAAGGAAACCGAAGCCCAACCCAAAACCCAGAGGGTTCTTGATCTGGCTCTGGATGCTTCTTCCGCGGTGGTAACTGCGCCTTGAACCCTGAACCCTGAACCCTGAACCCTAAACCCTAAACCCTGAACCCTGAACCCTAAACCCTAAACCCTAAACCCCAAACCCTGAACCCTAAACCCTAAACCCTAAACCCTAAACCCTAAACACTGCACCCTGAACCCTGGACCCCCCACAACCCCAACAGAGTCCCAGTCCATTCTTCGCCCCCAATCTTGCCTACTACAAGCCAGTGCCTTCAGGTGCCCAGGCCCCTGTGCCATTGCAAAATATCGCGAAAAGTCGGGAACCCTAAGGGCTCGGGTTGCGGCTTTTCGAGAAAACCCGATGCTCTAAGCCCTAAAGCGCAAACCCTCAACCCTCAACCCTCAACAGTCAACCCTCAACCCTCAACCCTCATCGCTCAACCCTCAACCCTCAACCCTCAACCCTCAAACCTAAACCCTAAAGCCTAAACCCTAGACCCTAAACCCTAAAGCCACACTGCCAGGAGCTGATGCTGGCCTGCCGCCAGCTGGGCCATGTCGTCTCAGAGGCCCTCGTAGAGGGGTTTGGGTGTAGGGCCTCTCGAGTTCGCAGGAGACCTGGGTTCTTCCCCTAAACCCGAAACCCGAAACCCGAAACCCTAAACCCTAAACCCTAAACCCTAAACCCTAACTCCTAAACCCTAAACCCTAAACACAAAACCCTAAACAGTGCACCCTAAACCATACACCCCAAGAGCCCAAGCGATTGAGCATCCCTTTGCAACCAGCCCTCCTTGAGCCCTAAACCCAAAACCCTACGCCTCAAGCCAGCCACCCCTAAACCCTAAGCCCTGAACCCTGAACCCTGAACCCTAAACCCTAAACCCTGAACCCTAAACGCTAAACCCTAAACACTAAACAATAAACCCTAAACCCTAAACCCTAAACCCTGCCTAATGACCTGATCTAATTTTTAGGGGGTTTAGTGGGTTTAGGGCCTGAAAAATCCTAGGCGCCAGCCCAATCCCTCACCCAAAAGCCCTGCACGGTAAACCAACAGGCTCATATGGCCGGTTTCTAAGAAGGGTGCACCCGGAAAGGTGATGCGACAGTAGTTCTCCAACCTGTAACCCAAGGAAGAAGAAGCCATGAAGCTTCCTCAGCCCTAAAACCCTAAACCCTAAACCTTAAACCCCAGAACCCTAAATCCTAAACCCTAAACCCCAAACCCTAAACCCTGAACCCTAAAACCCGAAACCCTAAACCCTAGCCCTAAACCCTAAACCCTAAACCCTAAACCCTAAACCCTAAACCCTAAACCCTAAACCCTAAACCCTAAACCCTAAACCCTAAACCCTAAACCCTAAACCCTAAACCCTAAACCCTAAACCCTAAACCCTAAACCCTAAACCCATAAACCCTAAACCCTAAACCCTAAACCCTAAACCCTAAACCCTAAACCCTAAACCCTAAACCCTAAACCCTAAACCCTAAACCCTAAACCCTAAACCCTAAACCCTAAACCCTAAACCCTAAACCCTAAACCCTAAACCCCAAAACCCCAAAAGCCTAAGGCCTTGGCAGCCATCGTCGCAGCAACCGTGGTGAACAGCCAGGGCGACTTGGCTCGGTGATCAGGAGTGTTGGGTGTGGGGTTTAGGGTTTAGGGTTGAGGGTTTAGGGTTTAGGGTTTAGGGTTTAAGGTTTAGGGTTTAGGGTTTTGGGTTTGGGGTGGTTCTCTAGACGATGGAGCCCTTTTGGGGATCGCAAGCCCTGATACGGAGCCTGTTTTGGGAGCCCCAAAAGGGCTTAGGGCTTCGGGTCTAGGGTTTAGTTTTGTAAGGTTTAGGGTTTAGGGAGGGAATCCCCCCTCGATGCCATGCTATATGATGCGCCGTTGGAGTTTTCAAGCCAATGGTTTCCCGACTTGGAACATGCAATCCTGGCCACGCGGATGCCTGCTAAATTTTGGGGTTCCCAGTAGCACCCTTATCCCCTTCTTGCGGGGTTCGGTTTCCTTGTGAACCCCTTTAAGCAAAACCAGGGGCACCCTTGTTAATCCAAAGTTTCTGGGCAACCTCGCCGTCAGCAGGTATTGTCCACTGTATATGGGGTCTTGTTGCGACAGCATACTCCAACATAAGAGATCAGGTGGTGCACTAAGTCTCTAAGCACTAAGCAATCCTGAAGTACGTCACTGTACACTGATGTCTTATTGCTCTAGTTCACTTATGACTTGGTGTACCAGACAGGCATGTTTGTTTCTTACAGAACCGTTACAAGAGCATTGCTTCAAATTGTAGGATCTTTAGTGTCTTGTATGCTGGGTTTAGGGTTTGAGGGCTTAGGGTTCAGTTCAGGGCTTAGCAGGGGAATGGGGAGTTGAAGGGAATTTCAGGCTTGGAGGATGGGTTTAGGGTTTAGGGTTTAGGGTTTAGGGTTTAGGGTTTAGGGTTTAGGGTTTAGGGTTTAGGTTTTGGGGTTTAGGGTTTGGGGTTTAGGGTTTAGGGTTTCCGGGCTTCCGGGCGTTGCAATCGATTTTGACACCTTGCAGCTCCTTGAGGTGGCTTCTTTTCTGAGAAGCCGATCGATGAGAACGTCCGCGCCCAAGGTCGATGTCAACCCCTAAACCCTAAACCCTAAACCCTAAACCCTAAACCCTAAACCCTAAACCCTAAACCCTAAACCCTAAACCCTAAACCCTAAACCCTAAACCCTAAACCCTAAACCCTAAACCCTAAACCCAAAACCCTAAACCTAAAACCCTAAACCCTAAACCCTAAACCCTAAACCCTAAACCCTAAACCCTAAACCCTAAACCCTAAACCCTAAACCCTAAACCCTAAACCCTAAACCCTAAACCCTAAACCCTAAACCCTAAACCCTAAACCCTAAACCCTAACCTAAACCCTAAACCCTAAACCCTAAACCCTAAACCCTAAACCCTAAACCCTAAACCCTAAACCCTAAACCCTAAAACCTAAAACCTAAGCCCTAAGCACGAAGTGGAAGGCCCTCGGCGGTTCAGGGTTTAAGGGTTTAGGGTTTGGGCTTGGGGCTCAGGGTTTAGCGGCGTGGGGGCTGTCAAAACTGCCTTACGTTTGTTGTGGTTTCGCTAGAACCCTAAGCCCTGAACCCTGAACCCCAAAACCGTAAACCCTGAACCCCAAACCCTAAACCCTAAACCCTAAAGCCTAAACCCTAAACCCCAAACCCGAACCCCGCAGAGGATAGGTCTACTCCGGGCAGGGCAGTTTCATCCCTAGGCCTGAGGCACCCTGAAGCACCAAGCCATTTTTGGGTTGGGGGTTTAGGGTTTTGGGTGGGTGGGTTTAGGGTTTAGGGTTTAGGGTTTAGGGTTTAGGGTTTAGGGTTTAGGGTTTAGGGTTTAGGGTTTAGGGTTTAGGGCTTAGGGCTTAGGGCTTAGGGCTTTGGGCCAAGGATGCCAAAACCGTTGTGGAGGAGGCGGCGAAGAAGATCCTCTCGAAGGAGCTCTACATCCGTGGGGGTAGGGTTTAGGACGAGGGTGGAGGGTTTAGGAACAGTGTCCTTAACCCCTAAACCCTAAACCCTAAACCCTAGACCCTCTACCCTAGACCCTAGACCCTAGACCCTAAACTCTAAGGGTTGGGGGTTTGGGTGCTTGAGGGTTGGGCGGCTGGGTATTGGAGTTCGGATTGGGAGTCCACGTGTGGGCCCTACACCCTGAAAGGAGCCCCCCCTCCCCTCCCCCCTTCCTCCCCACTGTAAAGGAGAGGCCTGGCATCTCCACCCTCCGCCTCCAGGCAAGGCGGTTGGCGGTTGAGGGTTTGGGGTTTAGGTTAGGGTCCAGGGGTTTGGGGTTTAGGGTTTGGGGTTTAGGGTTTAGGGTTTAGGGGTCAGGGGTTAGGGGTTAGGGATTCAGGGTTTAGGGTCTATGGGTCTATGGGTCGAGGGTTTAGGGTCTATTTGTCTATGGGTTTAGGGTTTAGGGTTTAGGGTTCAGGGTTTAGGGTTTAGGGTTTCGGCTGCAATGCTGCTGCCATGTTTGTAGTCTCATGGTCCGGGCGTTCTTTTATTCCACTTTAAACCCTAAACCCTAAACCCTAAACTGCGTAAACCCTAAATCCTAGACCCTAAACCCTAAATGAGAGACCCTAAACCCTAAACCCTAAAACCCTAAAACCCTAACCCTTGAACTCGGCTCTGAGGCAGACTACGAGCTGGCGTTCTCGGACATTGAGCAGGCACCGGGTTAGGGTTTGGACTTCTTGGCGGTGTCAACCTTTATAGGGTCCATAAGGGAGGGGGGTGGGTAGAGAACCTTAGGGAAGCTTGGGGAGCCTTAGGGGGTAGTGGGGAGTATGAGGGATCCTTGGGTTACATACCTCCCTTGAACCCCCCTCCCTTAAGGACCCTCGAGTAAGTGTTGACTTGCCCGACCGCTTAGCTGCAGCCTGGGTTTGGGTGACGGGCACGTGGGTTGTCCCTCGCCCCCCACCAACCCCCCCGAACCTAAAATGTCAAATGTAGGGGTCATCTTGTGGTGCTCCCCAAACTACAAAACCGTAAACCCTAAACCCTAAACCCTGCAGCCAGGCAAATCAGAAGCATCTATCCTCGGCCAAGGCCGACCTGCATTGCTTCGTGAGCGAGGGAGACTGTTCGGGTTTTGAGTTTAGGGTTTGGGGAGGTTTAGGGTTTAGGGCTCGGGGTTTAGGGTTTGGGGTTCAGGGTTTAGGTTCCCCTTGGGCACTGTTGCGTGGGATGAGGGGGGAGTGAAGATGATACAAGGACCGGCAAAGTATAGGGCGCTCCTTGGATTCTCTTTCCATGCGGCTAAGGTTTCGGGTTTACCCTTCTCCCTCCTGTCGTTCATTGGTGGGTTTAGGCTTTAGGGCTTAGGGTTCAGGGTTTGGGGTTTAGGCTGAGGTTTCTCTGTCCCCCCCCCCCCCCCGCGTGGTCCGTGGTGTTTTTAGGGTTAACAGGCAGGGTTTAGGGTTTAGGGTTCATGGTTTAGGGATTATGCGGAACGCGGGCGCATATAAGCCGCTTGGGCCCATTCTAAATCCCTTAAATACCCCTTCACCCTCCGGAGCCCTTTCCCGACTTAGGGGCCTCAGCCCTCTAGCCCGAAGCGACCGAGGAAGCTGAAGAAAAGACGCTGGCCTGGATCTCCAAGTTCACGGCGAAGTTTGACGAGGCGTGGGGCTCAGAGCCCGGGGGGTTTTCAAGCAAGTAAGCAGTAACCCCCTTATGACCCCAAACCACAAGCCAAACCCATGAATATCCCAAAAACCCTTCCACGGTTCCCCTGAACCCCGACCCCGAAAAGACCTACATTGCATCGCATTACATCGCCAGCAAAGACTGTTTCGGACGAAGCCTCGCGCAGCTTCAGTCCGACCGCCCCGTGCCAGTTGCCAGATGCATTGCTCAACCTTCAACCCGAATGACCCGCCAAGTATAACCTCAGGGGTACGAGGTTTAAGCCCCTTCTTTCGGAAAAATAGGAGAGGCCCTTTACATCTTGCCCTCTACGAAACTTGTATCCCCTAGGTTTGGGAACTGGGGATTAGGGTTCAGGATGTGCACTCCGTATTCGGGGCGCCGGGAGGACTTTGACACGCTGACCAGCCTCTACAAGAAGATCTACCACTTCCTCCTGCTGAGGCAACATCTGCTTAAAACCTGACCAGGCCCTAAACCCCAAACCCCAAACTCTAAACCCCAAACTCTAAACCCTAAGCCCGAAACCCTAAGCCCTAAACCCTAAACCCCTAACCTCAGAGGCTTTGTTGGGCAGGATAGGTGTAGCCGGTGCAGGGGTTTCACGACGAAACCCTTAAAACCCAAGAACCTACCCCAACCCCAGGGCTTGGTCAGGCTGAAGGATATTGTTCCAGTCTGGTGGGGCTAAACCCCGAAACCCCTAAACCCCTAAACCCCTAAACCCCGAAACCCCTAAACCCCGAAACCCCTAAACCCCTAAACCCCTAAACCCCTAAACCCCTAAACCCCGAAACCCCGAAACCCCGAAACCCCTAAACCCCTAAACCCCTAAACCCCTAAACCCCTAAACCCCTAAACCCCTAAACTGCCCACGAGGTACTCAGCAAATACATTCAAGAAAAAAGCCCTACATGCCCCTGAACCTCCCATAAACACAGCCCTAAACGCTTGAGACCCTGGTCGCATGTAACCCCTGAACCACGAACCCTCAACTCTCCCCCTAGGCCCCGGACCCTAAGCCCTAGTTTTCACCTTGAGCCCTAAACCCCTCTTAACCCTTAAGCCCTAAATCCTGAAACCTGAACCCTAAACCCTAAACCCTGAATCCTAAACCTTAAAGCCTAAATCCTAAACCCTAAACCCTAAACCCTGCATCCTAAACCCTAAACCCTAAACCCTAAACCCTGAACCCTAAACCCTAAACCCTAGACCCTAAACCCTAAACCCTGAATCCTAAACCCTAAACCCTAAACCCTGAACCCTCAGCCCTAAATCCAGATCCATGGCCAGGTGTACCAGCCCGTCCGGTGAGGCGAAGCCGCCCAAGGACGTGGCAGTTGAACGGGAGGCGATGGAGTAAAGGGTTCTAGGCCTTGGCGCTGTAGGGTTTAGGGTTTAGGGTTTAGGGTTTAGGGTTTAGGGTTTGCTGTGATAGGGCGTAGATGCTGTGAAGGTTAGGTTTCGGAACAAGCTCGAAAGCTTCGTGAGGTGCGAAGAGCAGCTTTGGCCCGATTGTGGAGGGCCATCTAACACTTTTCTCCCACAAGGCGGCAAAGACACCCAAACCTGTTCCTTTTAGGGTTTAGGCCTAAACTCAGACAACAGCCAACTTCTAAAAACTTTTTCAGTTCCAGGCACCAGGAGGGGCCAGGGGGTCAGGCGAGGGGGGGGGGGGCAGGGGGCAGGGGGGGTGACAGTGTGGCCAGCAGGGCCCAAAATTCTGGCGGCGAGGGCTCCTGGACCTCTTGGGCTAGGGGCCCGGGGGGTACCCCGTTACAAGAAGGGGGGGGGTTTGGGGTATCTACTGTATCATACGGGACCAGTACTGGTTCCGAGAAGAACGTGTTTGGGTACCGGGCCCATCCTGTGGGCGCCACTGACCCCCATGCTGTGGGAGGCAGGCGAGCGACCTGGGTCGGCTTGTGCCCCCCCAACATAGGGGGGCGGCCTAGCTTTAGGGTTTAGGGTTTAGGGTTTAGGGTCAGGGTTTAGGGCTCTATCGACATAGGCTTTAGGGTTCAGGGTACCGTCAAAGGATCCTCTACCTGCGGGCAACTATGAGGCTTTGAGGTTTTCGCGGGCTTCTGGGTCCGGGGAGTGTTTAGGGTTTAGCCCTAAACCCTAAGCCCGAAACCCTAAACCCTAAACCCTAAACCCTAAACCCTAAACCGCCCCTTCGCCAAGCTCGGTTCTGCGATGGCGATTGGTGCTAAATAGAAAAGCTCTTTGACCATTGAACTCAAGACATGTGTCTAGGTTTCCTCCAGCAATTAACAAAGGCAACAGGGATCCAATTTATTTCCCAATAGAGAAGAAGCATGACAAACCCCTCCTTTACCCAGTAAGCATGCAGACCGACACAAATCCAAGAGCCCCTTTACCTCGTAGAACCCAGAAGGGCCCCCAAACGGCGGCAGCCTCCAAGGCCCCAGCAGGGCCCCCAGTCGCTCCAGCAAAGCCAACAGGGCTGCTCAAAAAGGCTCGGCCCAAGATGCCACCCAAGGCACTCAGCACCCCCAACGCCCGCACTCGTGCTGCTCTTGCAAGAGGTCAGCTTGCAAAGGCGGGGTTCAAGCCACAGCCCCCAAGAGGAAGGCTCCCGGGTTCCATCGTCTGACGGTGGACCTACCAAGCAAGCACGCCAAGCACGAGCCGGCCCAGAACTACACCGAGCGCAAGGAGAAGACGTACCTGGAGATTTTGCAGCTTCAGCACGCATGCAAGCAGCTTGTGGACTCGCTTACTGCAATCAAGATCCCTAACCCCTAAACCCTAGTCCCTAAACCCTAAACCCTAAACCCTAAACCCTAAACCCTAAACCCTAAACCCTAAACCCTAGTCCCTAGACCCTTTGTGGGACTGACCGGTTCAGACACAGGCTACGAGGTGTTAGGGATGAGCTTAGGGGTCTTCGGGTCCCTAAACCCTAACCCTAAACCCTAAACCCTAAACCCTAAACCCTAAACCCTAAACCCTAAACCCTAAACCCTAAACCCTAAACCCTAAACCCTAAACCCTAAACCCTAAACCCTAAACCTTAAACCCTAAACCCTAAACCCTAAACCCTAATTCCTAAACCCTAAACCCTAAACCCTACACCCTACACCCTACACCCTACACCCTAAACCCTAAACCCTACACCCTAAACCCTAAACCCTAAACCCCAAACCTTGCTGGAAACACCGAAGCAACAATCCGAGTCGTCCGCCAGGTGGCCGCAGCTTTAGAGTCCGTCTTCCCCCGGGTCGGGCTCGGGAGCTCGGAGGGTTTAGGGTTTAGGGTTTAGGGTTTAGGGTTTAGGGCTTAGGGCTTAGGGTTTAGGTGTAGGCTTGGAGGGCTTAGGCTTTGACACCCTAGAAAGCAAAGCCCCTTAGCCCCGAATCCTCAAACTGCCCCGAACCCTAAAAGGGTTTAGGATTTAGGGCTGTAAGATTGTGAGGTTGTAGGGTTGTAGGGTTGTGCTGGTGGGTTCAATGCTTACTAACACTGAACCCTGAACCCCAAATTTGGTCAGGCTCCAGGCTTTCCCCCGGAACTAGGTTGAGATCCTTCGTGGCCCTGACGGGTGCGGAGAAGGCGGCGCAGTTGCAGGACGGCTTATGGTTTAGGGCTTGGGGTTTGGGGTTTGGTGGTTGAGGGTTTAGGGTTTAGGGTTTAGGGTTTAGGGTTTAGGGTTTAGGGTTTAGGGTTTAGGGTTTAGGGTTTAGGGTTTAGGGGGATTTCGGGTTTAGGAGTTGGGGCTGAGGGTTTTGGCGAGGGCCCTAAACCCTAGACCCGTGGGACTCTAACAGGCTTTAGGGGAAGGAAAGGAGGGTTTGAAGGTTTAGCGACGTTTCCTCGAAGTCGAAAATCGCATAGAGCTTGGGCTTTACATATCCGGGATAATTGAATGGGATCGCAGGTTTGGATTCAGCGCATTTACAGAGTTCGGGGCCCTGAGCCCTAAACCCCCAAGTTCCCCCACGAACCATTTTGGTTGGCCGCAAGCAGTTCGTGCACCATGCTCGTCAGAAGCGTCCGGGTCAACGCTTGAAAGTATCTCCCCCTCGGGTCCGGGATACTCGTTGAGCGGCGCGCTCCAGCTGGCTAGATGCTATGCGAGACAGAGGGAGACAAACGAGCTCTCTGCAGTTAAGTGTAATTATGAGGCAAAGGCACTGAAGCAATCCGCAGATCTTTGCTCGCAGTTGTCGAGGTCTTGAAGCTTTGCATGGCTTTGCTGGCATGCTTGGAGGTAGACCCCTTACATGGCAAACTCTCCTGGATACAAAAGACCTGCGTGATCGCGTCCCGAGACTAGATTATGCAAACCACCCTTCGTAGGCTCTTGGTGTCGTTCGATGGGCAGTTCTCTAAATGAATTAATTAGGGCCCGTTTTGGAGGCTCCCGTACAGAACACAGCATCCTTTCTGAGAAGCCCCAGAAGGACCCTAGTCAGAGGAATTGTGTTGGAGGGTGGGTGTTTCCATTCGAGGTTGGGGACCCCCCCCCCCCCCTATAAACCCTAAACCCCAAACCCTAAACCCTAAACCCTAAACAATAAAAACCTTAAAACCAGGAGCTCACCGGCATTGTGCTGGGCATCCGCCTCTTCAACATGCACCAGCGGAAGGCCACCCAACCCCCCCCCCCTCCTGAGTTGAGGGTTTAGGGTTTAGGACTTGGGGTTTAGGGTGTCTAGGCTTAAGCGTTTAGGAGCTGGGTAGGGCTAAGCCCAAAAGCGTGAACCCTACGCTTGAGGCTTCAGGAGTTTCAGGCACCAGATTCTTCGGCTAAACCTGAATCTTTGGCTAAACCTGAAACCCGACCTCTCCGAAGAATTAGCTCGAAGCTTCGAGAAGTCGGAGCTCCGAACTCGGTTCATTATTGTAGGGGCTCTGGGTTTAGGGTTCTAGGGTTTGGGGTCTTAGAGGCTTAGAGGTTTAGGGTTCGAGGGTTTGGGGTTTTAGGGTTTGTGGGCTTGGAGGTTTAGAGGCGAGGTTCAGGGTTACGGGGGTTTAAGATGTAGGGGCTTAGAGGCTTAGGTTTTTAGGTCTTAGGGGGTTAGGGTTCTGGGGGTTTAGAGATTTAGGGTTGAGGGGTTTGGGGTGTAGGTTCTGGGGGAGTTCGCCTCTTGGTGTGTGCGTGTGTGTAGCTCCAACCTTGCGCGCAGGGCGGGGCGGGATTGCCCTCGGTGATAGACGTGCACAAGAAGCTGAACAGCGAGGAGGCTGCGAAGAAGCCTAAACCCCAACCCCAAACCCCAAACCCTAAATCTTGAACCCTAGATCCTAAACCCCAAATTCTAAACCCTAAACCCTAAACCCTATAAGGGGTGATGTAGGGCTGAGGGTTTCGGGTTAAGGGGTGATGTAGGGCTGAGGGTTTAGGGTTTAGAGGTTAGGGTTGCGGGTTTAGGAGTTTAGGGGTTTGGGGTTCAGGAGTTTGGGATTCCGATTCACGGTAGGGGTTTCGGAATGGGGGTCCCATATGGCCAGCTCCTGGACAACCTCAGCAAGGAGGCGGAGGAAGTGACGGAGCTCTGCCAGGACCGGCAGGGTGTAGGGTTTAGGGTTTAGGGTTTTAGGGTTTAGGATTTAGGGTTTAGGCTTAATCCCCGAAACCCGCAACCGGAAACCCTAAGCCCTGAATAGAACACATTTTATTCTGACCCTACACTCAGGACCCTGAACTCCCAACCCGACCCAAGAGCCCGCACGCCCTGTGTAAAGCCCTGTAAAGCTCCTTAAGCCGAAGCCCTAAACCCGAAACCCGAAACCCTAGACCCTAAACCCTAAGCCGTAAGCCCTAAGCCCCAAGCCCTAAGCCCCAAACCCTAAGCCCTAAGCCTTAAGCCCTGAGCCCTAAGCCCTAAGCCCTAAGCCCTAAGCCCTAAGCCCTAAGCCCTAAACCCTAAACCCTAAACCCTAAACCCTAACTAAACCCTAGCCTTGTAACCCTGAACTGCTCCCACAGGACTACTCCGACGTCCTGGTGGCTGGGAGCTCAGACGTGGCTGTGCGAGGGAAACCTTCATGACAGGAACCCGAAGGCCCTGTAGTGTAAGCCCTTGTGTATGCACTTAAGCCGTATAGTATAAACCCTAAGTTAGAAATCCCACCCCCAAACCCTGAATTCCCTAATAAAGCCCAAACCCTGAACCCCCTAAACCCTAAACCCTAAACCCCAAACCTAAACCCTAAACCCTAAACCCTAAACTCCAAACCTCAATCCCTAAACCCTAAACCCTAAACCCTAAACCCTCAATCCTCAACCCTCAACCCTGAACCCTAAACCCTAAACCCTAAACAACAAACCCCTAAACCCCAGACCCCTGAACCCTAAACCCCCTTGCCGAGACCGCTTCGGGGAGCTTGCGCAGCAAGCAAGTGGAGGGTCTCGTTGACGAGAAGGAGGTGCCGGGTCAACCCTAAACCCGAACTGAATCCTGAACCCGGAGCTCTCAAGCCAGTGTTCTTCAAGCTTTCTGAGCTGCAGCTTTGAAAAGGGTACTCTTCTCCAAACTTTTCTCGAAACTCATCGAAACTTTCGCCGCTGGGCCTTCAAGCTGAGCTTGGGTTCTTCGGCCTGCTCTTGTTTGTATATAATAATAACAAAATAATAATAGTAATAGTTATTATTATTACTATGAATTATTAATAATTAATAATTAATAATTAATTGCTAATTTTTAATTTTTAATTATTAATTATTAATCATTAATTATTAATCATTAATTATTAATTATTAATTATTAATTATTAATTATTAATTATTAATTATTAATTATTAATTTTTAATTTTTAATTAGTAATTATTAATTATCAATTATTAATTATTAGTTATTATTATTAGTATTAATTTAATTATTAATTATTAATTATTAATTTTATTATTATTAATTAAATATTAATTATTAATTATTAGTTTATTAATTATTAATGATTAATTATTAATGATTAATATTAATTATTAATTATTATTATTAATTGTTAATTATTAATGATTAATTATTAATTATTAATTATTAGTTATTATTGTTATCATTATTTTATCATTAATATATATATATATATATATATGTATATATATATATACAGATATATACGTATATATATATATATGTGTATGTATATATATATATATATATATATATTATTCTATATTGGGGGGGGGGGGGGGGGGGGGGGGGGGGCTGTCGCCTGGAGTCTTTGGGGGGTTTCGGGTAATTAGGCTCAACGGGGTATGGCCCGTTCTATGACACCAAAGTATGCCCACAATTGATATCACCCCCTGGCCCCCCAGCGAACTATTTCATTGCGCAGTCCACACTGGGAGTATTTCACATTCAGGCGGGGACAATAGCGTTTGGGCGGAGGGGACTCTGTTCTGTCACCAGCTTGATCTTCACCTTTCTGTCAGTTGCAGCGGCTGCAGTGCGACCTCCTCTACCACCGCCAGTGCTCCTCCAGGGCAAGGGGAGGGGAATTGAAGGCTTGAAGCTGTCGAGCTTATTGCGGGGAGAGGGTCTTCCCTGTTAGAGGCCCGGTCTTTGGCTATTTCTCAAAGTTGGTTCCCCAGATCTTTGGGCTCAGGGTTGACGACGTGCCAGGTATCTCTGCTACCTTCTGAACTTGCAGGAGGACTCCGGAGAGGGTCCTGTAGGAGCTTTCTTCTTTCATGGGTCAGAAGTAGGGAGAGAAGTAGGGGATAACTAGAGCTGCAGCAGTAGCTATTTGAAAACCCAACAGCTCCCCGTGCACTCCTGTGTTTCTGTTTGAGTGAGGCTCAAGCGGTGTCAGTTTGCAGCCCCCCCAAGGCCCTAAAACGCTACAGCACCCTAAACCCCAAAGCCCAAAGACCCTAAGCCCCAATGCCCAAAGACCCTAACCCCAAGGGCCAAAGACCCTAAACCCCAAAGCCCAAACCCCAGACCCCAGGACCCTACTTTATTGTTGAACAGCCCTACAAAATACACCCTAAGCCCCGAAGGCCCTGGAGGCCCTGCACCCTCCAAAGGCCCGCAAATCCTACAGCCTCCGGGATTTAGTTACTGTAGTTGTTTTCGTCAGGGTCTTGGTGTTTTAGAGTTTTAGGGTTTCAGGGTTTTAGGGGTTTTTAGGGTTGTTTGCGTGTAGGATGCTGGGGCGAAGATGTGGTAGAGCCTTGGAAAGGACGTCACTTTGAGCCTGGAGAAGCTTCGCAAAGGTCAGGGGCAGCTTCGCGAGGACCGCAGTTCACTGCCAGCGATGGTTCGTCCCCCTGGTCTCTTAGTAGGGAATGAGGGAATGAGGTACCCTATAGATACCCTTTAAGGGATCATATAGGGGACCTCATTCCCTGCTAAGAACCAGCCAGTTGTGGTGGCTCTGTTGTCAAGTTCGGGCGCTTCGGACTTTCCTTAGGGCTTGTCGCTATATCGTCAAATATAGCTCGTGCCAAATGGGTATTTCCCAAAATAGGGATGCCCCTTTCATACCACCAAATAGAATAGGATCCCCTTAAAGGGACCCCCCAAAAGGGCACCCTCGATTTTCGGAAACCGCCATATAGGCTTCCGAGCATCTAGGAATCTTTCCGGCTGTTGGTTTTCTGGTTTCGGGTTTGGGGTTTAGGGTGGGCTCTTGCTTGTCAGCTTATTTTCTAGAGTTGCAGGGGGTTGAGGGTAGCCGGTCCTAGGCCTGCAGCTCCTAAACCCCAAACCCTGAGCCCTAAACCCTAAAGACCCTAAAAACCCTAAAAACCCTAAGAACCCTAGAAACCCTAAACCCTGAACCCTAAACCCCAAATCGGTCAGGGTCCTGTGTTTGGGGTTTACTGTAGGGTTGCGAGGTGCCTGGCGTTTGGGGTTCAGGGTTTAGGGTTCAGGGTTTGGGGTTTAGGGTTTGGGGTTTAGGGTTTAGGGTTATTCAGGTTTAGGGTTTAGGGTTTAGGGTTTAGGGTCTAGGGTTTAGGGTTTAGGGTTTAGGGTTTAGGGTTTAGGGTTTAGGGTTTAGGGGTTCAGGGTTCCTAAGGCCCTCTGCCCTGGCCCCAACCAAAAGCCCTGCAAGGAGCTGATGGACTTAGAGGCCCTCGTCGGCGGCCGAGTCTCCGTCCCCAAGGAGCAGGCCGGGGCATTCGGAGTCTGCAGGTCTGGGGTTTGGGGTTTGGGGTTTAGGGTTTAGGGTTAGGGTTTAGGGTTTAGGATTTAGGATTTAGGGTTTAGGCGGCTAGTTTCCCTCGTAAGAGTCTTATAAGAAGCGTGCATCAGCCTCTTACAAGAGGTTTGAGCCCTGGGCCGCAAACCCTGAAATCCGAGGTTTTGCAAAGCCCTCTGTAATTTCTCTTTGATCCTGAGATGAGGTTCAGAGTTCAGAGATTTTGGCCCTGACCCCTAGAGCCTCCTCTACACTGAACCCCTCCGAGCCGAGGATCAAAGCGTTTAGGGTTTAGGGTTTAGGGTTTAGGGTTTAGGGTTTAGGGTTTAGGGTTTAGGGTTTAGGGTTTAGGGGCTTAAGAAGCCATCATCTGCCCTCAACTTTGTGCACTCTAACTGCCCGAGGCCGGCTGCTTAAGGCTGGGTTTTCGAGTTTCCGGTCATTTCAGGGCGTTTTGGCTTTGGCCTGGTGGGCTTAGAAGGGTGCGACAATTTGTCCAGGGGTTGAGTTTCAGCTTCTATGGGGTTTTAGGATCTTTAGGTTCTTCTTGGGTTTAGGAGTCCGGGTACCCTGAACCCCAAGACCATTAACCTATGCACTCCTCCGCCCGAAGCCTCCGAACCCGAAAACCCCATACCTTATGTGGTTTCGGGTCGGGTTTAGGGTTTCCCTAAGCCCTTATGCCTCCGATGTCCCCCCCAGACCCTGCGCACCCCACCCAAAGCTGCAGGTCTACCCTCGCTTCGACGCGTTGGCAAGATGCTATCGCGATTCCTGGCGGGAGGCTCTTCGGCCCAAAGTTCCCACGACGGAAACATTGTGGCTTAGGGTCTAGGATTTTTCAGAAAGTTTATTTCCTGGATATGGTTCTCGACCGAAAGCTGTGCCCAGAATCCCTGCTGAAAAAAACGTCAAGCTTGATTTGCTATTCGGTTTTAGATCCGAGAATGTTTGAAGACCGTAACCCCCAAACCCCAAACCCCTAAATCCTAAACCCTAGACCCTATACCCTAAACCCCAAACCCTAAACCCTAAAACCCTAAACCCTAAACCCTACGCAACCCGAGAAGTGCCTAAGTGTAAGACCAGGCCCAAGCCCTGGAGGAGCGGGGAAAGCTCCACGGCCCCTTGGCCCGGCAGAGGTTTCGCGCTTCTTTAGGGGGTTTCGGGTCTAGGGTTTAGGGAGTTTAGGGAGATTGGGGAGTTTAGGGAGTTCAGGGCTTCGGGTTTTGGGAGTTTAGGGTTTAGGGAGATTAGGGAGTTTAATGTTTAGGGGGTTCAGGGGGTTCAGGGGGTTTAGGGGGTTTAGGGGGTTTAGGGGGTTTAGTGTTTAGGGTTCAGGGGGTTTAGGGTCACGAGGTTATTTTTGTTCCAATGTTTGGCTGCAGGATTCAAGGGTTCAGGCTATGGCTTGCAGGGCTTAGTGTTGAGGGTCCTACTGTGAATGGAAGATGCCGGTCAGGTCCTTAACGGTAAACTCGGGCTGTGCTAGTATCATCAAACCCAAAACCGCAAATTCTCCTGATGTGACTCCTCCCTTTCAGGTAAACGATGTATCGGAAGCTCGTAGGGGCATAGTTGCCTTGGTTGCTGCCACAGCCTTGGGCGATGATGATGATGATGATGATGATGATGATGATGATGGTGATGGTGATGGTGATGGTGATGGTGAGGATGATGATGATGATAATGATGATGAGCATGATGAGCATGATGACGATGACGATGATCATGATCATGACGACGAGGATGAGGACGAGGATGAGGACGAGGATGAGGACGAGGATGAGGACGAGGATGAGGACGAGGATGAGGACGAGCATGAGGACGAGCATGAGGACGATGAGGAAGATGAAGAGGATGAGGAGGAGGAGGAGGAGGATGAGTTGGATGAGGAGGATGAGGAGGACGAGGAGGCGAGGAGGATGAGGAGGATGAGGAGGATGAGGAGGATGAGGAGGTTGCGGAGGATGAGGAGGATGAGGAGGATGAGGAGGGTGAGGAGAATGAGGAGGATGAGGAGGATGAGGAGGATGAGGAGGATGAGGAGGATGAGGAGGATGAGAGGATGAGGAGGATGAGACGATGACGATGACTATCATGATGAGTGTTCTTCTGTGTTTTGGCTCAGGAATTAATTTGAAATTAAATCAGAATCCTGTGTTGCCGCGCTTCATCAGTCCTTGTCCGTGCTTGGGCCAAGGTGTACTGCAAGAGTTGCGCGGGCGCTACTTCCCAGCACTTTCCCAGAATGCCAAGGCACATTTGATGCCTTGAGACTAAGTTGTTCCCCCCTTGCAGTCCCAGTTACTGGGTGAGGTAATTGTGATGGACCAATTGTGATGAATTACACCCTCTACTCTATATGCACATATACAATATATGTACATCTGTATGTAAACACATGTGCATGTCTATATCCGATCAAAGACGATGGCTATACGGGGGTGGCATACGGGGGCAGCCAGACCCCACTTATTGCGCGTACTGTACTCAGGTGCCAGCCACCTCTTTTGTCCCCTGAGAGGTAACCCTGAACCCTTCGCCCCACACCCGGCTTAGAGTCCGAGAGTCAACTGCCCCAAAACTCGTAGTGCACGATGCGAATAGGCCGCAAGCGCTGAAACTCTCACACGCTAAACTCCCAAACGTCCCATCCCCTGAGCCCCCCGCACCCCCCCCCCCAGCCCAGAATCCCTCTTAGCCCCCTAACCCTTTAAAGTGAACCCAAGGGCCCTAAGGGTTTAGGGTCTAGGGTTTAGGAGTTTTTTGCACACCTGCGGGCTCTGCATGCTTTGGCCCTCCCTGTGCAGACTGTCCTGGCGAAGACCCCGCGGCGTGAGGGTGAGCAGCTGCTCTTGGACGAGACCCGCGAGGAGGGTTTAGGGTTTAGGGTTCAGGGATTAGGGTTTAGGGTTTAGGGTTCCATGGTTTCGGGTTCTGGGGCTTGGGGTGGGGTGCACAAGCTAGTAGATTATCGTCTTGTGCTGCAGTTCCACTATGTTTTTCTGTTTTGGTGGGGGGGGGGGGTGTAAAGTTGACTCTCGCCCAGTAGGCGCGCTGCTTAGAACATGATTGTTCCCAGTGGCAATATTCGGAGTACGGCTCTTGTCTTGATGGCGGTAAAGTTTTACTTCAAGACCCGCCCGCAAGTTTTTGGAAAATGCTAGCAGGCTGTTAAAGCTTACTGGGCTCAAAGCTTCCAATCCGTTGAATTTAATCTAGGGTTTTGTTTAAGTTCAGGGTTTAAGGAGTTTGTTTGGTGAGTTTAGCCCTAGACCCTAAACCCTCAACCCTAAACCCTAAACCCTGTTTGGGGCCCTTCCAGGGATGCACGTTGGGACGTTCCCCCTCTCCTGACAGTCCTTAGTAGGGATTACGTAGAAAAAGGGGGTACGACAATGAAGGATTGTTAGTATGGGAACCCTGAACCCTAAACCCCTAAACCCCTAAACCCTAAACCCTAACACGGAGAGGACCCGGTGGACCTCGACACCATCCCGGGTCCGGACCAGGTGCAGGCCAATGGCCCGGTTTTTGGGGGTTTAGGGTTTAGGGTTTAGGGTTTAGAGTTTAGGGTTTCGGGTTTAGGGTTGAGGGTTTAGGGTTTAGGGTGAAGGGTTTAGGGTTTAGGGTTTTGGGGTCTTAGGGTTTTAGGGTTCTTGGGTTTTGGGGTTTTGGGGTTTTAGGGTTTTAGGGTTTTGGGGTTTTAGGGTTTAAGGGTTTAAGGGTTTCAGGGTTTTTGTGGCGTTTCGGGTTTCAAGGTTTTAGGGTTTTAGTGTTTTAACGGGCCTTTGTGTTCAGGGGTTTCGGGGATTCAGGGCTTATGGTTTAAGGCTTTAGGGTTCTAGAGTTTTGGGGTGTAGGGTTTGTCCAGGGTGTTCAGCATTCCGAAGAATTTCTGACTGTTTGTTGGGATGTATCTGTACTCGACCAGTCCGAAACCCCCAAACGTCTAAACGCCTGAGCCCCAAAACCCCAAAAGCCAAGAACCTCCAAGCCCTAAATCCTAACCCTAAACCCTAAACCCTAAACCCTAAACCCTAAACCCTAAACCCTAAACCCTAGTATTTTCAAACGAGATCGGAAAACTGCCAGCCAGCCCAAGGCTTGGCCTGAAGATTCAGGTTTCAGGGTTCACGGTGTGTAGGTCCCTAAAGCCGAGACGCTAAACTAGAAACCCCAAACCTTTAAACTCGAAGCCCCAAACCCTAAACTCGAAGCTCTAAACCCGAAAGCTCTCAAACCCCAAAACCCCAAAACCCCAAAAACCCTAAACCCTAAAACCCCAAAACCCTAAAACCCGAAAACCCTAAACCCTAAAACCTCAAAACCCTAAACCCTAAAAACCCCCAAAAAATTAAGCTCGTAAACCTTGAACCCTCCCGAAAGGGCCCCTTCGACCTACACCCCAGTCCGCGATCGACAGGATGCGCATGCTGCAGTGCGGCTGACGGTGGCCCGTCACATGAGGATGCCTAAACCTTAAACCCTAGCCCTAAACCCTAAACCCTAAACCCTAGACCCTAAACCCTAGCCCTAACCCCAAACTCCAAGCCCTAAACCCTAAAGCCTGACCCCCCCCTCCCCCCCAAACCAACAGAAAGAATCTAAGCACTAAATCGCCAAAGCGCCCTAAGTCGTCCCCCAAACCCCCTAAACCCTACCTTGAAACACTTTTTCGCCAGTTAACAAGGGTCAAACTATCTTATAGTTCATTGCCCTAAACCCTAAAACCTAAACCCCAAAACCCCTAAACCCGAAACCCTAAACCCTAAACCCTAAACCCGAAACCCGAAACCCTAAACCCTAAACCCTAAACCCTAAACCCCAACCATGCAGCCGAGGTGGAGAACTACGACGGGTTCCTGAACCTTCCTTTGGACTTCCAGGGGTGGCGGCCCTGAAGGGTTTAGTTTTTTTTGAGGGTTTAGGTTTAGGGTTTAGGGTTTAGGGTGTTGTCTAGGGTTTAGGGTTTAGGGTTTTTTGGGGTTTAGAGTTTAGGGTTTTATAGGGTTTAGGGTTTAGGGCCTTTGTAGGGTTTGGGGTGGTTTCGGGTGGTTAAGGGGGTTTAGGGGGGTTTAGCGGTTTAGTAGGGGTTTAGGGCTTAGGCCCTAGCCCCCTTGCACGCTAATCTCTAAAACCCTGAACCTTCTTCTTCTACAAGCGTCTTCAAAACCAAGAGGAGAACCAAGAGGATAAATTCCAATGGCTCCGAAAAAGCCTAAAAGTCCTAAGACTTGAAGCCTCATTCGGTTTAGGGTTTGGGGTTTAGGGTTTAGGGTTTAGGGTTTTAGGTCGCCCGTGAGCCCCAAACCCTACATGGGATTGGAGCTCTTTTCGGGATCCAGTTGCTTCCGGGTCTCGCGTTTCTGTGGCGGTTAGGGCTTCGTGAGATTCAACCCTAAACCCTAAACCCTAAACCCTAGGCCCTATTCCCTAAACCCTAAACCCTGAACCCTAAACCCTAAACTCTAAACCCTAAACCCTAAACCCTAAACCCTAAAGGTCTCAGACCCGGCTTGGGTTTAGCGTTTGGGGTTTGGGTTCGGGGGACTCCATGCGTCGACCCAGGTTCTGCATTCACACCCTGGTATCTCGGAAGGGGCTACTCGCCCCGAGCTCAGAGAGAGAGAGAGAGAGAGAGAGAGAGATGTCGCAGGTTTCGGGTTGAGGGTTCAGGGTTTTTAGGGTTTTTGCCTCTTGTCATATCATCCCCTACGCCCAAGCTCCCCTCTCACACGCTTTTCTGAGCAGCCCTAAACCCCAAACCCCCTAAGCCCTGACCCCCAAACCCCAAACCCCAAACCCCAAACCCCAAACCCGAAACCCCAAACCCCAAACCCCAAACCCCAAACCCCAAACCCCAAACCCCAAACCCTAAACCCCAAACCCCAAACCCCAAACCCCAAACCCCAAACTCCAAACCCTAAACCCTAAACCCTAAACCCTAAACCCTGAACCCTAAACCCTAAACCCTAAACCCTAAACCCTAAACCCTAAACCCTAAACCCTAAACCCCCAGCCAAGTGCCGAGGTCCCAGGGAATCCCGCCTTGGGTGTCGTCAGGCTGGGAAGATCCGGCTCGAAGCGCCCGAAGTCCGGTTCGGGGGTTTGGGGTCTAGCGTTTAGGGTTTAGGGTATGGGGTTTAGGGTTTGGGGTTTAGGGTTTAGGGTTTGGGGTTTAGGGTTTGGGGTTTAGGGTTTAGGGTTTGGGGTTTAGGGTTTAGGGTTTAGGGTTTAGGGCTTAGTGTTTGAGGTTTAGGGCTTAGTGTTTATTCGTCGGGGCTTAGGGTTTGAGGTTTAGGGCTTAGTGTTTAGGGCTTAGGGCGTCGTCCAAAAAGCGGCAGGTCAACTGTTGGTCAGACGGAAGATTCAAATCTCCGAGTACTCACCCAGAATTAATGGTGGATAGGGGCAGTTCTTTGGGAGCACCTGATTTGAAAGCACCTCCCCGCCGGAGATGCCGAATGCCTCGGCCTCAAGCCCTGCATCCTGACAGGTATGCCGGCAGATATTGCGTTTTCGCAACCGTCTCGGGCTCGGGCTTCTCCTGCAGCTCTCTGAAATATGCCAAGTTTCCCATTTCGGGCACATGTAATGTCATCCTCGTCCCTATCACGAATTATCCATGAACCCACGAGCGATCCTCAGTCGACCCTAAATCCCGTGTAATACCTCGAGTACAGCGATGCCCCCGCAGCGATGCAATGCAAAGACTAAAGGACAACACTGGAATGTTCATGCACCCCGACGTAGCGAAATGTGCCGCCCACGTCATGCTGCTACCGACCCGCCGAGACGCTGTCTCGGCGGGCGTCGTGTTCATCTCGGTGGGCGGGGGCTGTCCTTTTCCCTTGCCGGCTCCGGCCAGCCCTCTAAACCGCGAAGCCCAAACCCGCAACCCTCAACCCTCAACCCTCAACCCCAAACCCTAGGCTTTAAACCCAGACCCTAAACCCCATAAACCCCGCCAGCACATAATGCTAAGGCACGCCCTCAAGGACCCTAAAGCTCCCCTCCTGGCCCTGAAACCCTAAACCCTAAACCCTAAACCCTAAACCCTAAACCCTAAACCCTAAACCCTAAACCCTAAACCCTAAACCCTAAACCCTAAACCCTAAACCCCTAAACCCTAAACCCTAAACCCTAAAACCCTAAAACCCTAAACCCTAAACCCTAAACCCTAAACCCTAAACCCCAAACCCTAAACCCCTAAACCCTAAACCCTAAATTCAGGACCCTCAGCCCCCTTCAAAGCCCCCGTAAGGAGCGCGCCATGGCCGAGTTCTGCTCGGAACCCGACCGCTTCTTCGGGGCCGTTCGGGAGGCCTCTCAGGGGT